GAGCTTTGTTTTCTGATCTGTGAACTGAATGAATTTTTTTTTTTTTTTTTTTTTTTTTTGACACAAGGTTTTGCTATGCAGTTCAGGCTGGTCTTGAATTTACTTTGTAGATCTAGCTGGCCTTGAGCTCACAGTTATCCTACTGCCTCAGCCTCCTGAGTATTGGGATTATAGGCATGCACCACCATGCCCCACAGGCCCAGAATTTAGACTCAGAATTAATTCCAGAAAGAAAACTTAACAACAGTTATTGAACATCTTTGAATATTAGCTAGGAAAAGGCCTCGTAGAATTTTTACTTTATTTGGCCCAGTGAATAGAAAACTAACACATTGTTAGTATTAGTGTATTATTATTATTATTTTATTATTACTACAATTGTAGTTTGTAGTTAAAGTAGGGTATGTCTGAGGATGAGGATGAAGCCACAGCAGTTTTTACTTTATCAGTTTGGTGAGTAAATGAAGGATGCTTTTCCTTTACTTGACACAGTATCAATTTTCCACAGGTATCTTCACAGTCATCACTTCTTGGAGTTGGTCACCTTGCTTCTGTCAATTCCAGTAACAAGTGCTCACCCTGGTGTGCTGCAAGCGACAAAAGATGTTCTAAAGTTTCTTGCACAGTCACAAAAGGGTCTCCTTTTTTTTATGTCAGAATATGAAGCAACAAACTTGTTGATCCGAGCCCTGTGTCACCTGTATGATCAAGATGAAGAGGAAGGTCTCCAGTCTGATGGTGTGGTCGATGATGCGTTTGCCCTGTGGCTGCAGGACTCCACGCAGACGCTACAGTGCATTACAGAGCTGCTCAGCCATTTCCAGCGCTGTACAGCCAGTGAGGAAACGGACCATTCTGATCTCTTGGGAACTCTTCACAATCTGTATTTGATTACTTTTAATCCTGTGGGAAGATCAGCTGTTGGCCATGTTTTCAGCCTTGACAAAAATCTTCAAAGTCTCATTACTCTAATGGAGTACTATTCCAAGGAAGCCTTAGGGTAACTTTTATTTCTTAAATATTTAGTCGTGTTAGAAAACTAGATCCTCTTTTTTTTTTTTTTTGCCTTTTGAGACAGTTTCACTATGCAGTTCAGGCTGGCCTTGAACTCACTTTGTAACCTAGGCTGGTCTAGGACTCACAGCAGTCTTCCTGCCTCAGCCTCCCGAATACTGGGATTACAGGCATGTGCCACCATGTACGGCCTAGTTTCCTTTAAAAAAGTGTTTCTCTGAAATCAGAAACTAATTTTTTGACATAATGTATAACTCGTTAAGAATTGGAATCACGGAAGGCTCCAAAATATAAGATGGAGCTATCAAGCAGTGCAGCAGATCTTTCAGTGGTTTCTTTCTGTGAGCCCATGGTGTTGACGAAGAGTACAGCTGACGTCTCTGCTGACCTGTGTAGAGGGGAGCCCTATGGCCCAGGGGCATATAACCCTTAAGGATAGGGGCGCTTTTTTTGCTGTTTTTGTCCTGGCCATCTAATACAGTCATGTGATCTGGTTTCAGAATTGTTTTGACTGAATGGGAAGGGTTGAGATTGGGAATGGTTTTGAAGACCCTGCACTCAAAGGCTAGAGGTTTTAGTGTGCGTTTAGAGACATCCCCTCTGCCTAGCTTATGTCACAGGCAATAGCACCCTGATAGCTGCCTTCACTGTGGGGACTGAACATGTGAGTCTCCTGTGGGGTCCAAGAAAGGCAGCCCAGTGGCTTCTGTGCCTGACTGTGTCCTAATGGCGCTGTGACGGAAGACTGATGATGGCAGGTGATCACATTTATTCCTATTTGCCCAGATTGAATGAAGATTTTATAGGAGACTAGTAAAGTGTACCATCTCATATTTTATTGTTAATGAAGTATACCTGTTAATATTTCATCATTCTGTTGATAGTATTTTACTTTATTGTATTGTGTGTTTTATTTTAATATACAGTCAACTCTCCTTATCTGTGGGTTTGGTTCTGTGGATTTGATCAACTGTGAATTCAAAATATGTAGAAGAATATTGAGACTATTTTTCTAAACAATACAGTACAGCAACTACTTAAATAGCTTTTACATTGTATAAGGTACAGTAAGTAATGTGGAGATAAAGTTAGGTGCAGATGTGTGTAGTGATGTGTAGACACTTGCCATTTCTGAGGGACTCAACCCTTCATGGATTTCATTGTTCGGGGAGCCCTGGGCTCAGTGCTCATGGATCCTGAGGGTTAACTTACTGTTAATGGAGTTCTCAGGCGAATTGAATGTGACTTGTAAAATCTGGTTTCTTGTCTTTAAGAAGTCAGTCCTATTTCACGATAAATTTCTTTGGTGTCCAAAACCAAATAGAAAATAACATTTAAAATTATTACTAAAAGTTGTGTTTGTACGCCATACTTAAAAACCTTATTTTGTTTCAGTGATTCCAAGTCTAAGAAGTCAGTAGCTTATAATTATGCATGTATACTTATTTTGGTGGTGGTTCAGTCTTCCAGTGATGTCCAGATGTTAGAACAACATGCAGCATCTCTCTTGAAGCTTTGTAAAGCTGATGAAAATAATGCTAAATTGCAAGGTAGAGTATCTGAAATTATTTTAAGCATTTCTCATGTAGGGTAGGAAAAGCCTTTCAATGTCTAATGTTTTATCATGTTGTAACACACCTAATCTGCTTTTATTTCTTCCTTTTTTTTTTTTTTTTTGAGACATAGTCTTGCTATGTAGTTCAGGCTGGTCTGGAACTCACTATGTAGCCCAGGTTGGCCTTGAACTCACAGCTTCTCTCTTGCCTCAGCCTTTCAAGTCCTTGGGTTACCAATGTATGCTGTTGTACTAGGCTGTGCATGTGTTTACACACACACACTCATGCACACACACAGTTCTAAGTATGTTACATCGTTGCAGTATAGTTTAGAGATCTACTTGTGGATCAAAAAAGTGAAAGATAATGAATATCAACTTTATTATTATTTTTTTTATTAAAAAATTTTTTTTGACACAGTGTGTCACTGTGTAGCTCAGGCTCGCCTCAAACTCAAAGCCATCCTTCTGTCTCAGCCTCCCGACTTCTGGGATTACAGGTGTGTGCCACCATGCCTGGCAAACTTTATTTAAAATATATCAGTGTAGGGGCTGGTGAGATGGCTCAGTGGTCTAAAGCACCTACTTAGAACAAGCTAAGCCAAGCAAAGCACAGGGACCGTGGTTCAACCCCCCAGCACCACATGCCAGCCAGCCCCGCCCCTGGTGGGCTGAGCTGGCCACACACACACACACACAATAAATAAATAAATAAATAATTAAAAAATATATCAGTGTATAGTGAGTGAAGTTTATAGCAAAATTTTGTAGTCAGTTTGGAAAAGTTTTAGGTAGCCAGTCATAATTTTTAAATTATTTTGTTTCAGCTTTCTGATGTTACCAAGTACGAAACTTGTTAACACTAGTAAACATGGTAAAAATACTATAAAGTGGAATGTGACCTCTTTTCTTTGTGACCTCCTTTTTTATTATAAATTTTATGCATTGTGGTAGCTCCAGTAAAAACTTGGATAGTAAACTCAACTTCCCAATTTCCCACAGTAGAGGTAGATTCTCCCCCCCATGAATTCCCTTATTAAAGGAGGGCGAATGATATGTTCAGAGGCATTATTAATGCTTTGATACTTTTTCTAGGTAATGAGTACACTTTAATTTAATTTAATTTTATTTATTTATTTTTTGGTACTGGGAATTGAACTCAGGACCATGTGCTTGCCAGGCAGGCCCTGTGTTAGTTATATCCCCAGCCCTCTTTTGTTTTTTTGAGACAGGCTCTTTGTGTAGTTCAGGCTAGCCTTGAGTTTCTGGCAATCTTCCTACCTCAGCTGCCTGAGTGTTGGCATTATAGATGTAAGACACCGTGTCCCACTTATTCTTTGATTTGAGCTATATATTCTGTATATATGAAAGATGTAAGTTCTATATGCATGGAAGTCGGGGATGGTGACACACATGTGTAATCCCAGTATTGGGGAAGCCATGAGTTTGAGGCTAGATTAGGTTCAATAGCAAGTTCATGGCCAGCCTGGACTACATAGCACAATCTTGTCTCAAAACAAAACAGAAAAACACATTAGGAAAACTACTCAGATGTGCACAGCCCTTCTGGACAAGTGCACCAATGACAGAGATCACTAGTAATTTTGGTTTTTGTTAGTCATACCTATAGAATGTCTGAAACTGGTAGAATGCTTTTCTAAAAACATTTTTTGAGGCAGGTCTAATGGTGAATGTCTGTACTCCCAACATTTGGGAAACCTATGCAGGAGGGCTATGAGTTTGAGGCCAAGTCTGAGCTACACAGGAAGACCCTATCTCAAATGAAAACAAAACAAGAATTTGGAGTGGGAGACAGGGTCTAGGTACATAGATTCTTGGCGAGTTTTGTTTTGATGACAATAAATGGTATATTTCACTGATATTTTAAATTAGAGTTTGCTCTATTTTGGGGTAATAGTAATTAAAGGCAAATAAGGAAATTGATAGGGCTGGGGAGATAGCTTGGCAGACTAAGCACTTGCAGGGGCTGGGATTCAATCCTCGGTACTTCATGCTGTGCTGGCCCCTTGTGGAACCACACCAAAACCAGGTGTCTGTGGTGGTGCACACCTGTAATCCCACCACTGGGAGGCTGAGACAGGAGGATCACTAGGAGTCCGAGCTGCATAGCGAGACATTATACCAAATCAATCAATCAGTCAATCACATCTAAATAGAAATCAACAAAATTAAAATTTCATGTTTTGTTTTCTTGGTGGAACCGGGGATTGAACTGAGACCCTTGTGCTTGCCAGGGAAGTGCTTATTCTACTGAACCATCTCCCTGGCCCCAAAATTTCATGTTTAAGAACTACTTAAGACAAACTGTCCTTATGGATTTGATCCTGTTAGAAATAGATACATTTAATACATTTACCTATACTTTTTTTGAGGGGTATGGATAGCAACAAAGATAAAGAGTATATTGATTTCTAAGCACTTTTATAAATCAGTTTTGTAATGTTATAAACTGTGATTACAAAAATTCATTTTATTACATAGACTAAGCATTTGTACATCTAAGTTTTCACAAATCAGGTAGTTAAGAGTAGTTGGAACCAATAAGATAGGTCTACATTCCTGTTTCATTTTAAGGCTTTGGAAAATAATTAGGTGCAAGTTCATTTTTGTATGAAATTTAGGTACTCAATGCAGGGCTGTTGTTTTTCTTTTTTTAAAAATATACTGCTCCTTTCTTTGTTTTTTAAATATTACAGATTATTTTTTTTCGTTTTTTAGAACTTGGCAAATGGCTTGAACCTCTGAAAAACCTTCGATTTGAAATTAACTGCATCCCAAATCTAATTGAATATGTTAAACAGGTAAATTTTACAAGTTTTTTGATTTTA